CGGCGTGGGGACGCGCGACCGTACCTGAGGCCGAGACAGCTCCGGGAGCAGCGGGGGTGGCGAGGAGCGGCGTGCGCGCTCCCGCCCGCGGCCCGGTGCGTAGCGCCCGCCCTCCGTCTCCGGGCGCCGCGCTGCGCCCGCCCCTTCACCTCTCACCTCCTACCTTTCCCCTCGCCCCACCGCCCCCTGCACGTGCGCCCCACGCCGTGCGCATGCGCCGTCCGCCTGGACGCGGCTCCCGCTCGACCCCTGGCGGCCGGGCGCCGCAACGCCACCTCGAGGGGCGGAGCGTGCGAGACCTGGGAAGGGCTGGGGCCGTGACTGCAGGAGCTGCCCAGAACTGAGCTCAGCATGAGCCGGGTTTTTTGAAGAATGCGTGGGAGGAGGGTCGTGGGGCAGGAGTGGGCAGAACTAACACCTTGGCTTCTGCACTTTCTGCAGTCCTGGCCAGTTTTATTCCAGCAGCCCAGGTGACTCTGACCAGGGGAAGCAGATTGGGATGAGATCGACCCTGGACACTGTGAGTCATCCGGAGAGAGCCTGGAAGTCAAGAAATGGTCATAAATTCCCAGGACTTATTCTGGCCTATTCTTAACAATCTTTTTTTGGGGGGGGGGCGGGAAGATGGCTCAGTGGAATAAGCGCTTCCCTGGCAAGCACAAGGGCCTGAGTTCAATCCCCGGTTCCACCAAAAAAAACTTTTTTTTTTCCCTTTTTAAGGGACGTTCCGTGTAACTCAGGCTGGTCTGGCACTACTCAAGTGATTTTCATGCCTCAGCCTCCCAAGAGCTGACATTACAGGTGTAGGCCATTACGCTGGCTTCAGGACACTTTCCCCCCCCCCCTTTGGTACCGGGGATTGAACTCAGGACCTTGTGCTTGCCAGGCAGGCACTTATTCTACTGAGCTATCTCCCCAGTCCCAGGGTAGAAAACTTCCCCTAGAATGAGACAGTGTGTTCCAGGTCACTCTGAGAGCTGAGCATGTGGCCTCTGTCTAGGGCTCCAAGCCCCAAGTGCCAGCCCACTGCCCCGCTGCCTGGAGGAGTCTCATCACACATGGGCTGTCTCTGCAGGACTGTACCAGGTGTCCTGCTCATCATGAATTCAGCATTAGACAAGAGCTAACCACACGATAAAGTGGAAGGGCCTTCCACGTTCCTGGGGTTCAAAGTGGCAGCACCATGGAATGAGAACTGACCTCAGGGAACCTTGATCCAGAAGTCAAGACCAGGACGCAACCAAAAACTCCAATCTCTGTGACTCCTGAAACAAAATAAATCGGAGCAGGAAAACAAAGTGCCTCAATTCCAGCCGGGCAGGTGGTCTGTGCCTATAGCCCAGCACTCAAGAGACTGAAATTCCAATAAATGGTAGTCATTCTCGCCAGTATATAGTTGGTTTAAAAAAAAAAAACAAAAAAAAACCTTAAAATCTCAATGTTGCACTGATATTCAATATCTTCATTCTTTTTTAAAATAGTTTTTATTTTTTATTTTGCAGAACTGGGTATTGGCCTTATCAAGTTATTATGAGGTCAAGTTCCTATTATTATAATAGTATTATATTATTCATCAAGTTCCTACTATGTGTTAGAGACCAAGGATTTAATAAGCTATTTCCTTGCATTAGAGTTGTCCGAATGTGAGCCTTTAAACAAAATTTAAAGTCAATATAAGGATTATTACATGATAACCAATAATAATGACCTTTTTTTTTTGAAGATTGGAGTCTCCATTGTCCAAGCTAGCCCCAAACTCCTAGCCTGAAGTGATTCTCCGGCGTCAGCCTCAGCCTCCCACGTAGCTGAGACTACTAGATCTGGCTTAGTAATGGTTGAGCTCTTGCCAGAGGCAGGCGTAGCTGTGTTAGTTCACATGACCCTTTGAGGACCCTTAGAGGTAAGCAAGATAAAGCCCATCTGAAGGATAGGAGCAGAACATCCAGAGCTGAATAGCAGCTGCTGTTAAGACAGCAGCATCTTTGGCTGGGCGCACATCAAATGCTGACCCACCCAACCCTTTTGCCACGAGGCTTCCACATGCGGATGGCAGGAAGCCAGAGCAGAAATCACATGAGGACAGGACTCGCTGTGGCCTTTGTGCCAGGCGCCGGCAGCAGCAGTGTTGCTGTGAGCCACAGGCTTGGCCTGCCTGACATGTCACCCCATCCCTGACCTCTCCCTTGTCTGGGTCCCCATGCCCAAGATGTGATGTGAGTGAAGAACACATCTGTTTCAAGCCCGGGTCTGGGAGGGCACTGCTACAACAGCAGATCTGCAGGTGGCAGTAAGCGCCACAGGCACAATCTCAATGCTGTACCATTCACACATTTTAAGTATAAATGACTTTTAGTAAATGTATTTATGCATCCCTCATAATCTAATTTTTTTTAAATAGAAAAGTTTTATTAAAGGTTAAGAAAAGAAACAGGCTCTGCAGAGCATGTTCAGGCCAAGTAAAAGTTAGGACGTGAAGCATGCTCGACTGTGAGGGTGGGCCGCATGCAAGAGCGGGCCCAGGAGCACATCACGATTCTGATGTAGTGCATTTCCATCAGGCGGGAATGCTCCGAGTGGTCTGCTATTCACACTCCCAGGCCCACAACTACGCTCCACTGTGTCCCCGTGCATTTGCCTTGGGTGGGTGCTTTCCATAGGTGGAATCATACAGTGCAGGGTCTGTGGCTGGCGTGAGTGCACCCTACTGGAGAATGTGCCCAGGCCTCTCTTTTTTTTTTTAATTTTTATTTATTTATTTATTTGTGTGTGGCCAGCTCAGCCCACCAGGGGGGCGGGGCTGGCTGGCATGTGGTGCTGGGGGATTGAACCGCGGT